TGGACTAGCTAGAAGTTCCAGAATCTATCTTTTCACTGGGGAATATGAATGTGGAACAGCTCTGTACTGAGGGCACCTCACACAGCGTGTGTACATGCAGAACGTGTACTCATTTCTGGACATTTTGGACAGCAGCTGGGACATATTAGCTGGGTTAAGTCCTTTTCATTACTGGAATCTACATATAAATTACAGTGACTTTGCTGGGCAATAACGAACTTCTGTTGTAACAGTAGTGGAAACAGATGTCTCCGATGGGGTTAATTTTTTTTTTTTTCTATTTTAGGTGTATCAGAATCTCATTGAGGCATCTGAACCAAGGAAAGCCCTGAATTTGAAAGAGGGCTAGTAGGAACTTTTTATACCCTAATTAGGTATCTCAAAAGCCAGGACCCCCAGCAAATGTGGCTAGATTTCCTCTATGATCTGCAGAATGTGCTCCTTCCTTAAAGATTTGATTGGAAGTTGTGAGTTTGCATTTAAACAAAGAATCACGAGATAAAGCAGATGCTCACAAAAACTGAGGAAAACCAAGTTTAGAAATATATACTGTATAGGGAAAGAAAGCTTTTTCTAGAGACTGTTCTCCCTATGAAGGAAATGATTAAAACTGGCATCCCAGGCACCTGTGATCATGTCTTATGGGATTTACTCTTTGACTAATATGATGCTTATTTTACACCCAGCCCAGACCTCTGTCACTGAAATAGGATATGAAAAAAGAGCAACCACTTCCTGAGAACTGTCAGTTCCAGACAAGTGCGATGCGTCCCTGCAAAGCCACTATTTCCGTCATCTTCACGCAGGAAGAGGGCTCATTTTGATGACGATGCAACCATTAAAAATAAGAAATGTCTATGTCTTCACACCCTTCCAACTTCTCTGTCCTCTGTTCTCTTCCCTGGGCTTTCTGATTTAAGGCAATAATTCTTTACTGTAAGTGGCTTCTGGTGAAAATCCCTCAACTGAGGTCACTTGAGTTGAGATTTTAGTCTGAAGGGATTGAGTTTATGGAGCAATAGGCTGGGCCTGAGGAACAACTGGAATCCAGGGGTTGCAGTCTGTTGTTTCAACCTGGGGCATTTTTACCGCTTTTTCAGTGAAATACATAGTTCCAAAAAAGAACCCGTGCTGTGCAACCCTCATCCTCTACTTCTTCATCCTAAAAAGAACTGAAAACAAACCCTGGTGTTCCAAACCATTTTCTGGGATCTGTTAATGTACACTGCTGACCACTGTGGATTCAGTGTTCGAGGGGAAAAAAACAAACATGTATTCGGAGACTTAGAAAAATCTTTGGGGGATTTTGGTTAGGCTAATCACCTTAATCCCTAGCGCTAGAAATGATGCTTTGGGTTAGTAATTTCCACGTTTTGTGTTTATACGAACACTGAGTCACCACAGCTTTTCCTCTTGTGGAGGTTTAAGCGGTCTTAGAAATGGCAACTCCACACGGAGAGCCCTTGGGGATACGAGAATATTCTCACTCGAGAGCAAGAGCTCCTCTGTGCCCTTCTTCTGTTACCATATGCTGCCTGAGCACCAGGGTACAGATAGCTTTTGAAAGTTTGCCCCATGCAGTCTATTTCCTGGGCACCTAACAGAACAGTCCTTTTCTTCATGTCAACACGAAGAGAAAGGGGCTGCCGCCATCCCAGTGGGGAAGTTATGTGGAGCCTCAGAAAGCCCCGGGTGGCTGGGTCAGCGCAAGTGTTCTCTTCAAGCACTGCAGAGGGAGAGGCGTTGGGTTGCCTTGCCTTGTCTATGGAATTAGGGAGTCTACTAAAGTTCTAGTGCGCCCTTCCTTTTGTTTGTTACCGGGTCACATGGTTCTGTCTTTAGTGTCCTATTTTTATTTTATTTTTTTAAATTTCTTTTTCTGGGGGATAAAATTGGCCATTTAAAGAAAGTTCTTTTCTAGTGAGTAAAGAGGTTTCTCAGAGCCAGAAATCACTCAAAAGAAAGTCTGTCGACCCTACTACCCATGGAAAGCCCAGAGATTTCTCTAAATACTTCTTGCCAAACTTCCTAGTGTTGCGATTGGATGTTTTTTGGTTTCGCATTATTGGGTGCTGAATACACTTTGCAGTCCTTTTGTTCTCTTCCCCAGGGCTTCCATTACCCTGGACTTCAACTCATTACTAAATTAAAGAATTCTTTCAGGGGGTTTCTTTTAAGAGTCAGGTCGTAGCAGAAAGGGCACCCCCCCCTTCTCCCAAATCCCAAGGGCATCTTAAGGTTGTGTCTGCTCTTACACTGTACCTTCGTTTTGGTTCTTTCTGCATAGCAGAGGCAGACCTGATTTGGTTATGTGATACCTTTGCTGCAGAATCACATATCCTCTGCTCCCAGCCTCAGCTAATTAAATAACATCTTCCATAACAACGGAGGAAGGCTCCGGCATGGGCATGTTGAGTATGAATCCTGGCCAGGTCTACCTCACTGCTCCCTTTCCTAAAGGCAACAGGTTGTTGGGAGCATAATGGAGGAAGCACATCTAGGAAGCAACAGGAACTTATATTATGTTCTGTCAGGGACCTGAGGGATTTTTATAAGGAGCATGCCTCATTTGAGGGAACTGCTGAGGGAAAACAGATTTGGGGTATGTATGGGCTGGCCACACACTGTTGGTGTGCTTGTATGATGGAGGTACATGTAGGTCAAGGCATTAGGACTTACTTGACACATAGAGGAAAATCTTTTCTTCTCCCACCCGGAGGAAATCTTTTTTCTTCTCCTATCAGAACGCACAAATTGTAACTGTTCATGGGTTCCAAAGGGTTTTCTTGGTCCTTAAAGAATATTGGGATGATACAAAATAAAACCCATGACTTTTCAACAAAGCAAATCCAAGTCTTTTCTTCTAAGCCTGGGAGCTACTGTGACCTCCAAGATGCCTATGAAGAAGGAATGGACTAAAGCTGGAACACAAGAAGGAAGTTATCCACCACACTTACTCATGGCACAGTTTCAGAGGATTAGGAGTTTGGGCAGGAAAAAGTCTATATACTATTATCAGGAGCTAAAGTTTACAACTCAATTAAAAGGTATAGTAAAAGCCATTTTGATATCAAGACTTTCATTTCAAATTATTTTTGCCTGGCTTGTTTCTTAATCTTTTCCCATGTGTAGATTTGTATCAGATTCATCTCTTCCAATTCCTTCCTTTTGGGGGCCATATTTTACCACTTGGGTGTTTTTTTTTTTTAGTACAAATATTGGCATTTATTATAGTAATGGGGGAAAGTTGCCTACCATGCTGGGATGCTACCAATGTTTTCAGGGCTGGGAAATTTTATTTTTCATAAACTGTATCTAAATGTCTTGACATAAATATTCCCCTTTGACTTTTTTCCTTTCCCTTGTTCAGCTAACCCACTTTTAAATCATAAATTGCTAAAAAAAATGTTCTTTTCCAAACCAGTTCTTGTTCCCTGTATTCATCCTAAGAGGTCTTAAATCTGGAACATTTGTTTCCATTTTATCTATTTTTTTCCCCTGACTACTGAAAAAAAATTTTTTTTAGCACTCATAGCATCCTAGCATGAAGTTCTAAATGTAAGAAGATTGTTGGATTTGAAACTAAAAAAATAAAAGGATTCATGTTCATCCTCTATTCTTGAAGCAAAAAATGTTTCCCCATTTCCTAAGGTGTTGGTAATTATTTAATTTAAAAGTAAGGATTGGCAATCTAAAAGCATCTCTATCCTGAAATAGGTCCAGTCCGGTTTACATCAGTTGGGAAAGTCGCCCTTTCAGGAGGTCAGAACATATAGTAATGACCCCACAGCAAGTTCACTGCTCCCCAGATTAGACCTTCCACTGCAGTCTAGCTTCTCCCTCTCTCCAGAGAACAAATCTGTCAACTATTTTAGACTATGAATGTTTGAGAGGAATAGACATACGGTAAGAAAAAGTCTACTGCGTTGCAAACCTGGATAGTCCATGTGGTTATAATGATTGCAACACCTCACCAAGAATTCTTTGGGAGTTCTCCAACATTTTTAAAAAAGAAATACTTCATTTGAAGGGAAAGAATGAATATTAGTGTTTCAAACCCAACTGGAATTTTTTTCCTCTATGTGTTCTATAACAAAATGTGGATTTTATTTTAACCCAACTGCTTCACTTTCCACGTGCCAAATCAACATTAAGGCAAATGGGTTTCCCTCTGATTTGAGAAGCAGATAGCTAAATGTGGCCCATAATGGCACCCAAGATCAACTTTTCTAGAGGTACTATAAATTCTGCCTACTTTGCGAAGGTTGGAATAAGGACACTGTCTTAAATCAGCTACTGTCAAAGAATTGAAAATAATTTAAAGTGGCTTTTGGCCGCTTTCATTTGTAATATATGCTGAGGGATTTTATGTCATTTTTCCCCTAGATTAAACAACTTTTTTCCTTAATGTCAATTTGTTCTTTTTTATATCATGGGTTGAATGGCTTGTTTTTCAGGATATCAAAACAATCCCAGGACATGGTTAATTAACTAATGCTCCCTCTGTTGGTGGTAAGTGGAAATATTAAAGTCCTACAACATTGCTATTTTAAAAAGCAAAATTAGCAAGAGAAAAATGGACTTTTTCTTAGTTTTGAAGCTGTTTCCCACTAACTTTTAAAACAGGTCAATTTTGGACACATAGTTCTTGATAGGACTCCTCTTCGAAATCACGATGAGTGATACCCAATAATCAGTTAACCATCCAAGTCTACATTAAACTTCTAGCAAAATATTTACCAAATTATATTACCAGAGGATGAAATACAACCCACATGTACTCCAGTTGCATTAACCCTACTAAACATCACCAAGAACTTATGGAAAAGATCCAAGTTAACCAATATCTAAAATATATGAGTAAAACCAATTTAGTCACTACAAAGTTGCTTCCCTTGGAAGATTTCTCCTCATTTGTTGCACAGTTTTGCAAATAAGTTGCTGACAGGAAAATTAAAATGCAAAGTAATTTTGAAACTAAAATTCTATCTTTGCTTCTTTTTTAAAATTACAGTTTGGTGTTTCTGCTTTGTTTAAAGATTTACTTTTCCCCCTTAAGAGTGTTAAAACATGCCCAGCAATAAAATCACCTTTGGAGTTTTTGTTAGGTTTAAGAATTCTCATATTTGAGTTGGAATCCCTTCAGGACACTGTCTATAATGGAAAAATCCCTATTACAATACTTTGATCAGGACCGAGGAGAGAAATCCCAACTAGGAAGAGAGAGCGCCATCTAGGATGATGCAATGAACTGGTGGCCTTTTGAATGATGGATGTTGGTATCCGAGAAATTTTTGTTAATTTTCTTAAAACCTTTCCAAAAAGCAAGGGTTAATACATCCTCTAAAGGATGATCATCTCATTTAGCCCTCTCAGCCATGGTGGCAATAGTCAGAAGGTGGTGTTTGAAAGGAAGAAAGTAATTTTGGCATCAAGGCATCCTGATCTGTACCAGGCTTCTGCTCTTCGCAGCTGTGAAGGGTGAGGAGGCGTGAACTCATCCTCCTGGCTGACCACAAAAGGAAAACCCATTTGTCACGACCTCTAGACTACTAGTGTTTCACTCAAGAAAAGAAGTAAAGTCAAGAGAAATTCTAGAATCGTAAGACCTCAATGAACTTTTAGAGAAGCAAGAAATCTGTTTCTGAAAGATAAAGTCCTCCCATGAAAAAGAACAGAATTCTAGATGGATCAGTTGAAAAAAAAAAAGTCAGTGGAGCAACTTAAGCTTGCTAAAAGTCAAAGAACTACATATCAAAATACAAAGCAGCAGTTCAAATTACAGCAGGGATGGGTTGGCCACAGAGGCCCTCATCAACCCAGGCAATACTTAAAATAATAAAAATTAAGAAAAAAATAAAAAAAATATGAAGAAAATATCCTTCCTCTCTTTCAAATATAACTTTAATTGCCTTTTATTCTTTCTATCTGGAAGCAGTATCGCTAACCTTAACAGTCTTGACTTACCAAAAAATATATATATGTGTGTGAAATAAAATAAAAGAGAAGGGACTGGTGGCAGTGTATGCAAAACCAAAACGAAAAAAAATTACTTTTAACAATCTCACTTTTTTTGTTTTTTTTTTACACAAATACTGTTGTAAATATATTAAAAAAATCAGCATTCTATCTGGTAAACGTCACTTTTGCCCCTCTATAAAATTTTGAATTAAAAAAGCCTCGAGAACTTTTTATTATTCCCCCCACCCTCCATTTCTCTTTCTTTTTCTGTTCCACAAGAATATATCCTGACACTTTTTTTTTTGTTTTTGTTTTTTGCAAAGATTGTGGGAAATAATCCTTCTCTTGTACCTAGAAACGTAGGTGCAAACCTCTATCTTTGTTTTATCTGCATTCCTGCCTTTCATGAAAGTCCCTCTTGATTGTGCTGAGGCTGTGGCTCAGCGAAGACACTGAATAAATACGATATAGCCACTGTTGCTTGACGCTTGTCCAAGTCTTCCTGGCTTCTGCTGAAAGAGGGGGACATGGAGGAGGTGGGCCAGGGTGTGTGGACGCGAGTAGAATCTGGGGGAGAAGCCTGCCGTTCGCCTTCCCCACACCACCGGACCCACTGCCCCTTCCCAACACCCCCAGCCCTTTTACGAAATCAGACAATGTGGTAGGTGGAAAACAGCAGGGCCTTTCCTCTGGGTTTTCAACCAGAAGTGATTGATATTCCACAGTTTTAACTGGTTACTGTGAAGTCCAAGCGGCCAGAATTGTGAAAATGTCCACTGAAACACTGCAAGCGGTGTACTTAAAGACAGTAGGCCTTTTAGATTTTGTTATATATTTTTGTAGTGCTCTTCACAAGTGAAAAAAAATTTTTTTTTACTTTTTTTTTAAGGTTTTTTTTTTTTTTTTTTTTTTTTTTTTTTTTTTGTAAAGAAGGGTTGTATTTAGAGGCCAGTAGCTAGAGATCCAACCAGTGGACCTCTTGAAGCACTACCAGGCCTTAAGGCCACCATCCGAGGGAGGCTGGGAAAACTCTCATTCACCCGAGCCTCCGGAAATGTAATGTACCAGCAGGCAAAAACAGTTCTTCATGTAGTACAAAATGAAACGAAACAAAAACAAAAACAGAAAAACAAAACCAAAACATTTCTTAAATTCTAGTGCCATAGCTTTGTTTCTTTTCTGTCGTTTTGTTCATAAGAAAGAGAGAAAGATACTACTTATCCGTCAGACACATGCATCCTCATGTGGTCGTTGAACTGCTCGATTTGGTCAAACTTTGCTGGACAGACGGAACAGACGTAAGTGGTCCCCTCCGTGCAGGCCACCACCCCTGGGGGGCCAGTGCGGGCACCTGGGGGTGTACCCGCAGGAGGGGTCCCGTTGCTGGCACTGTGCAGGGCCACGTGCCGCTCCAGGAGGGTCTTGTGGGAGAACTTCTTTTTGCAGATGTAGCACTCGTAGGACTTCTCCCCACGGTGGAGGCGCATGTGCACGTTGAGAGAGCTCTTCTGGGTGAAGCGCTTGTTGCAGATACTACACTGGTACGCCCTCACTCCTGTGTGTGTCACCATGTGCTTGATAAGGTAATCTTTTAAGGAGAAGGAGCGCCAACAGATGCTGCATTGGTGGGGCTTCTCACCTGTTGATGGGGGAAGAGACAGCAAGCGGAACAGAGCAAGACACAGCAAGGGAGGGAGAACGAGAGACAGAGAAACAAGACGACAAAAAACAAAAACAAAAACAAAATTAAAAAAAAATCTGGTTGGTTCACCCTTGATTGGAAAGATCCAGTCCTTCCTGGCCTCTCGTGTTTTGAGAATCCTTGCTTTCGGGGGATGCCAGGAGAGGCTAGTCTTCCACCTCCCCATGCCAGAAAACAGCTCTCTTGGAAAGCTACAAGAGACTACCCACCATAGGTTTTCAAAGGTCATTCTGTGGAGAAAAGGGAGGGCTACATTTATGGGGTCATTTTCGGCATCATGGTTAATATGTGGATTTAACTGTGTACTTCCCATTAATTTTATCAAACACATGTAAGAAATAAGAGAGAGGAAAGATCTTGGAAGCATTCGGGTTCTTTAGAATCTCTAGAAACTAAGGACAGTAGTTACATAGCTTGGCTCTTTGGGGATAGTTTCCATTTCCAGTATTCTGCCTAGTAATTGCACTTTGCCATGGTAGGTCTGGGAAATATTGGCCAACATAGGAGCAAGTCGTTCTGAAGAGCTACCCTCTCAATTTTATTTATTTTAGAGAGAAATCTTCCCGCAATGTAATGGTAGAGTTAACTGGCTATTCCATCTTGAGTGCCCTGAGCTACGGACTGGCCTTGTCTGGTGTGGAGGTTGAGTAGGTGGTGGACAACACAATGATCTCAGAGTCAAATGGTCCTGTTCAAATCCGGGCGCCAACCCTCGGCATGGATACTCTGACAAATCTCCAAATGCCTCTGAGGTATACAGTCCTACTTACCTCACTGTGCTGGTGTTGACATAAATACATATGCAATCACTTTGCAGACCACCAAGGGTGGTGTGGGAACACTTGCATGGTATTCTTATTTTAAAACTATCCTCTCCCCCCGCCCCAATTAAACGATTCCATACGCATTTTTTAACTCTCAGGTCAATTTAAAAAATAGCTTTCTCTTTCTTTGTTCTCAGTCTGTTGGCTGAAACCCTTCTTTCTCCTCAGTTTACTGCTTCGGTTTGCTGTTGGCTTAGAAACCAAATGTCCAAGCTTGTGAAAAGGAGTAAGGTAAATAAAAATATTGTTACTAACTGACCATATGAAGTATTCCTCTATAAGTAATGTCCATGGGCCTGTGACATCTCTTTGGATAAACAGAGTCTCGTTTTGGTTGGTACTGTTAGTTCTCAGCTCTGCTCTTGACAGGTGAGATGAGATGCATTAGGGTGTTTCCATCTGTCCCACCTCATTACTGATTGCCCAGTGGAGGCACCCACCTTGGAGAAGAAAGTCCTCCTCTGTACTCTTCCATAACCCAGAGTAAAGCCCAAAGCCTTTGAACCTCTCTAGGGTCATTGTTCAACATCTGGACTATGTATCAGGGTAGGAAATCTATTTCTTAAAATTGAGTTAACTTCCAATTAAAACATGGGCCTTGACTATGTTTCCATTTTTCCTATTACGAAGCAGAAGAGGTTTGAGGTGTCATGGTAATAATGGCAATGAAAACAATCGGCGTGTATTTGGTGCTTAGTATGTGTCAGGCTCAGTGTTAGTGCTTCATGATCCGTTGTATGAAACTTTATCTCTTCAGAAACCTTTTTTCATTGTGTTTGTAAACATAAAAGGATATGTTCTGAAGCACATGATAGTAAGAAATGGCAGTTTTGTTCAGGAATCCCTTCACAAATTTCTTAACCAATGTCATTGGTCTTTGAACTCTTTTTCCCTTAGTTATTCACAAACGTTTTGGCCTAGCTCCCTCTCCTCTGGACTCTTCTCTGATTTCTTTCCTTTCATTCTCACGGACGGGACAGTATGGTCAGTAGGATCACAGGGTTAGAAGAGAAGGAGTTCACTTTTGGACAAACGGGCAAATTTGGGGAAGCCTCATTCCCAAATGATGCATTTAGGCTATGTATGGTTTTTATGTAGGTACCTTCTTTGGAAATGAGAGATTCCCTAAGAGAGAGAGTCATGAGTGTTATTTTTAGTCGGAACATTTCTGTCAGCTGTAAACATGCTTGAACTCAAGCTGGTCTTTGCCATCCATGTGCTTTGAGTATACTTTCTAGAGGCTACGATTGGCTGGTCAACTATCTTTTAAAACTTATCCACCTGTCACCTTTAATGGGCAGCTTGCCTTCTTAAGTTCCAGATGGTGTTTTGGCTGCTAGGAAGTTGAAACTTTATGTTAAAATGCTCTTGCTGTTTGAAACTTTCACCTTCTTACAGTGTGTTTTTCCTCTAGGCAAGGTCACTCTGAAGGCTTTTTGCTTTCACAACCTTCTAATCTGACTATAAATTGATTCTTCACAGTTGTTACCTTCCCCTTCATAGCATACATCTGTATGCTGTTTGCATCCATGTAGTATTGGTTCAGCTGTTCATTATCTGCGTGACCCTGGGCTTTCTAAGTCTCCCTGGGTTTGTTTCCCCTTCTGAAAGTGAGGAGCTGGACCAAGCACTTGCCATGGCCCTTTGCAGATTTAGTGGCCTTCTGCCCATCCTGACCCACAACCCCTGAGGCCTCTAGTCTAGGCCTTGTCAGCACATGACCTGAGGGCAACCTGCTTCAATCATTCACTGCATTAGCAGTCCCACATTTTAAATAGGACAAAGTACCCTGTTCCCGTCCCTGCCACAGAAAGTGGTGTGATAGTTAATGAGGAAAAATGTTTGCAAAGCACTTGGGAGCTCCTTAAAGGAAAACGCTCTCTATAATTATTAAGGTGCTGTGCTGGTAGAGCAGAGGTATTTCAAGAACTGTCTTACTAAATGGGGCTTATTTTCAGATTAATCAGGCAGCCACAACTTTCATTTATATGTATGTGTGGATTTGAAACAGTATCACTCAGTAGAAATGTTAATATTTTTCTTTCTTGTTATTTTCCTCCATATTGCTTATAGGGACCCTAAAAGGGCTTTCAACATTATACATGAAACAGATGAGGTCTGCTAATTGTTGCTTTCAATGTGGAGAAATGGAGTTAAGATGAGTGGAAGTCGATGGCTTTTCAGGTCTGAACTTATAGCCAGGAATGGCAAGTCCATCGTTGCGTTAGGAAGAGACACAAAGTCCAAAGCAGACACTAGAATTATAACATAAGGGAGAAGGTCATATAAGCTCCTTCACTTTAAACTGCTCTATTTTGGGCTATACAGCTGTGGGAGTCAGATATGAATTCCATTTCCTTGGCTGAGTGACTTGGGTATGTTACTTAACCTCTATAAGCCTCAGTTTCCTTATCTGTAACTTGAGAATAATACAGTAAGTACCTGTCCTGTGAAGGTATTTTGAAAATTTAAGAGATAAAGCACTTAGCACAGAGTATGTGATCATTTGAAGGCAAAAAATCAACCGTTCTTTTCAGTAGAAAGGAACTGATGATAAATGAAAGCAACTGAGAAATAACTTGGGTTACATGGGGAAGCCAACTCAGGATTTAAAAAAACAAAAAACTTTCAGATAATCAATAAAGCAAGTGATTGTATCGCAGCTATGTGATTCAGAGTTAAGGGTACAGTCTGCTCTCACATATGCTAATCAAAGAAGCGGTACTATGAATAAAATGTCAGTAAGTAGCTCTGACAGACGGGTTCTGAGCAGGTGACAACTGAGCTCTGGAGCCCAAGAAACAGCACAGCAAGGGGATAAACTAAAGGGGCAGCAGTGTCCTTTACAATTCCAGCGGTGTGGGGGGAGTGGCCAATGCAGATACTTTTCTCTGGTTTTTGATGCCTGTTCTCTAAAGAGCCTCTTTTCAACTCCTTCTTGTGGACCAGCACTGACACTCTACCAAGACTGACAAGTTAGGAAGAAAAAAAGGAAGAGACATCCTGTTAGGTTCGTAGATACAGAGGGCCTGCCAAAGTTCAAGTAAAAGGTATCCGACTGGGCTGAGACACCCCAATTCTGAATAGTGACTTCTGTAGTGGGGGGCTCAGCAAGAACCCACTGATCCTGCTGATTCTTTCTCATTCTAACCAGGCTTCTCCTGGCTTGCAGAAAGTACAGTGAATGCTGTTGGCGGGATGTTTTTCAGAAGCACTGTTCCCACCTGTGTCTCCCATTCTCTTGGCCTCTCCATCAATCTGCTCTAGCATAACTCCCTCCTCTTCAGGTGAGTCTGGTGAGGGGCCAGAAAACTAAGACTGGGAGCTTGGGGAGAAGGCAGGTAGCAGGGAAGGAAGAGGAAAGTATGGGTTGGGGAAGATGGCCACCGGTGAGGAAAGCAGGAGTCCCTGAATGGAGAACGTCAAGGTGGGAACAGAAAATGGGAAACATTCAGCGGCAAGAATGGAAGGGCGCTCACACAGAGTCGCAGAGAGCTTTCACTGGCTGAAGAGTCTGCTCTCCACTGGAGAGGTCTAGCTGAAGGGAGGCCTACGCCCCCGAGATATGGCTGGGGTGACTCCCTGCCAGCCTTTCTCCAGTTCTGAGGGTGTGATCCTGGGGGCCTGTGTGGACTGTGGGGCCAACTGGGAGGAGGGATTGCCTACTGGGGGACACGCTGCATTCACACAACATCTGCGGCTTCAGGGACAACTAACATGTTTTGGTGTGAGGCAGAATTTTGAAGATCTCAGGGAACTTCATCTACGTTACTTAACTTTTTTTATACCTTTATGAGTGGGGTAGACATGAATGTCCCCAGAAGACGGTATCTCCATTAGAGAGGTTATCCAACAAGTCAGTAACAGATGAGAGGATGATACCAGCCTCGCCAGATTATCACCTCCTCCTCCTGTTAACGATTTCCTGCGCTCTGGATTCTGCTGCAAGATGTATGATGTTACTATAACATATATGTTCTTAAATGGCTTTGATGATTTTACAGTATTTATGGTTAAGTGCTTTCTCAGAAATAATGTTATTTGATTCTTAGAGCAACCATGTAAATATTATTAAGATCTATATATTTTGTGGCAAAAACATTAAGGCTCAGA